GAGCTATTGCTTATCGGTTGGCACTGCCGGATAATTTAGACCGCGTACACAACGTATTCCATGTGTCCACGTTGCGGAAATTTCTACGCGATGAGGATCGGTATCAGCATATTGATGTTGGGGAGATTGAGTTGCAGCCGGATGCAACTTATTTGGAGCCACCGTGTCGTATTGTCGACCGTCGGGATCAAATCCTTCGTAATAAGGTTATCCCATTAGTTCGTGTGCAGTGGAGTCATCACAATGAGGCTGAGTCTACTTGGGAACGGGAGGATGTCATTCGCTCGCAGTTTCCTGAAATACTGGAAGAAGGTAAGAGCGAATTCCGAGGACGGAATTCCTTTTGTTAGGGGGGAAGAATGTAATACCCCTAATTTTAAAAAGGATATCCCAGGGATTTTAATTTAGTAGTTAATTGCATTTTATTTGATTATGTGTGATTAGTTGAATTAATTTGATTATTTAATTGTTTAAGTGTTGTAATTAGTAAATTGATTATTTAATTGTTTAAGTGTTTTAATTAGTAAATTGATTTAATTGTTTTAATTTAATTGAGTTAATTGTTTTGATTTAATTTATTTAATTATAGTTAATTATTTAAGTGGTAAATTTATTTGTTAATTTATTTAATTATAGTTAATTATTTAAGTGGTAAATTTATTTGTTTTGTTTAATTTGGTTTTCACGGGACTGTATGGGACACATATAGTTATATTAGGGTTTCAGTTTATAGCCGGCAATGTATATATCATAGGTCGGTTTATGGGCCAAGGAGGGCTCTGTCTCTATTAAACAAGGATTAGGGTTTGGGATTTGTATGCCTATATATATATACATGCTTCTTGGTATTAAGGATTGGAAAAAAAAAAGACTCTACTCGCGTAATATAAAAACAGAGAGATACAGAGTGAGGTTTTGAGAGAACAGATTTTGTTTGGTGTGGGATTCGACGGGGATTTCAGGGTTGGACCTAGGAGAAGGGAAGGGCAGAGGTATTAGGAGGCTAGATAGTGTTGCAGTGGTTACCGGACGTTGGGAAGACGGCGACAAGTTTTGAGTCCAAAACTTCAGGCAAGTTCTTTTCTTCCTCCTTCCCGTTGGCCTGTGTTCTGTGCACCTAGACATACTCTAGGGTTTTAATGGATCAATAATTGAATTAAGCATGTTTTTATATGTCAATTTAACCTTATCTTTGCCTTGAATAAATTTGGTGATGGGTTTTTGAAAGTTCATTACAGTAGTTGTTTTTCCTAAGCATGATTTGTCTGTGAAACTTGTAGTTTTTGTTTTTGATTTCAACTGTTGTAAACACTCCATGGGGATTATACTGGACATAGTTAGGACCCTTGGGAACAGTCTAAAACTAAATAGAACGGGTGGGAAGCGGCCGGCGTTGAAGAAGAAGGTCGCAGAAGTCACAGACGGACAGACGGCTCTCAGAGAGGGAGAGAGCCGGCTCCATGGAGGAGGGAGCCGGCTCCCCCCTAGTGTAGATCCGGCTCTAGGAAGTGTAGAGCCGGCTCTACCCAAGTAGAGCAGGCTCCAATAAAAATTGGAGCCGGCTCCCCTTTTGTTCATAACCTGTTCTCGCTCAGTTTGCTTCCAGAAGGTGTTTAATGCACTGTTTGAAGCTGTTGTGTGTGGGAACTGTTTAAAACAAAATATTGGGACTTGCCATAGTGATTAAGAAGTTAACTTTGGGTATTAAGAGGTCTTTTAATTGATTAAAGTTTATCTCTAAATTAACGGAACAAACTGTATAAAATTTATACACATTGTACACGATTAAGGGATGGAAGAAGACTTAATTGCTCAAGCTTATTTTTGAGCATTCTAGTGGGATCTAATATGTTTATAAATTGTTCTAAATACATTATAGGGTCATTGATGTATTGAAGTTGACCTATGCATGCTTTGGAGGCTAATTGTTGAAATAGTAAATACTTTCTACAATGATATGGATTATCGTTTGGATTTTTAATTGCTAGAACATCAAATATCTTCCTGTAATTATTTGGATAATGTTTTGGAATGTAATTTACTAAATTATGATTTCTATATTGTAATTGGCATTGATATGGAGGATTATATGCACCGGTATGGGACGGTGGCATACTAGGGATGGTTTAGCTTCAAAACGCTAAGACCTAACCTAATGGATTAATGGAATGGATTGTAAGATATCGAATCCTAATTGTGACTAAGTCAGATCAGCTGTAACCAAGTTGGATGACTTCCTGGATTAACGGATGGTAGTTAAGTCATATCCACTGAATAAGTTGAGTGACTAATTAGTTGGTTTATTGTAAGTCAGTTTAATAAATTGTTAAACTGCTTACCCTGGATTTGGACGGAATTTATATATATGTTTATGGTACCACGAGTTGAGCTTGAGTCTCAGACTTGTTGGTTAGGGTGCGTATATGTAGTGGATGCGTAGCTGGTTATAATAGGTTGAGGTGTACCCTGTTAGGTCTAGGTACTCATGCCCACCTTTGGGTGCGTATTCGCATGTTGCCTTCTATTCAGGTTGAGACCCCTATTATAGACTAGTGAATGTCCCTTAGTGTGGATATATTTATACGTATGGACTAGATAGATATTGTGAGGTGTCTACGGTGTATCTGCGTATCGGGTCACTGTATGGATTGCAGTTAGATTAGAACTTGCTCGTGGGTCTGACCTACTCCTTTATTATTATTTTCAGGTACAGGACGGTTCCAGCCTTAGAGCTTGATCGTGCTTGTCGAGGACAGTCTCACTTTCATCTGATTACGTAGGACTTCTCTCGATGTTTCTAGTATTATCTATTTTCAGTTTCATTCTCAGTTGAACTTTTAGTTAGGGGTCCATCAGTGGATTCCCAAGTTGTAACTTTGAAGTTTTGGAGGATTGGAGTTTCAATTTTCAGTTATACATGGAGGATTTTATAATTAATGTTTCTTTCAGTTTTATTCTATCTTTATTGTTCTTTTTGTCATCTGTGTTCGTTTTAAAATACTTTAATTGTTTGATATTCCCTCGGGTTTGGGCTTGGGCCTGATCAACCCGTGTCTCGGATCCGAGGGGTATCACAATAGGTTTTGAACTTTTGATTCTTGCAGACAGATAGATTAATTGAACTTCTGATTCTTGTTGATTTTGTAATTTGCAGTTGTAGAGAGAGAGAGAGAGGGTGGGGGAGTTCAGATCTGAGAACGAAAATAGAGACAGAGGCGATTGGGAAGGCTGAAATGATTTGCCCTAATTTTTTTTTTTTTTTTTTAAGATCTAAGTGGGTTCATCCGGTGTGATGCGGCTGCACGAGGATTCAGTGTGTCAAGGATTTGGTTGACATCTATAGCAAAATTCGACTTTTTTTTAAGGTTTTTTTATATATGTGTGTGAGATATCTACGAGGCAATTTTTTAATCTTTTCCGTAGTAGACGACGGTGCTCAAAATCTTACTTTAGTTTAATTTAAACTTTACCATCTGATAAAATGGTTTAAAATTTATATGTATAATTATAAATCTATATATATATATATATATATATATATATATTAAGATCGATTTTAATCTCAAAATTAAATTATATTATGTGGTGAACAGTGACGTAGTCAGGATTTCAAGTGAGAGGGGCACACTGCCAAAAAACAATAATAATAATACGGAGTATATATATATATATATATATATAACAACTATAAAATTTAAAAAGACAAAGAAGAAGAAAATTATTAAAATATAAAAGGAAAATAAAAATGAAAAATTTTTAATAGGAAATAGTTAAAAAGTTTCAATTGAAGAAGAAAAATTTGACTTTTTCTATTAAGAAAATTTAAAGAATGTGAAGGGTAAAAGAGAAAATAAAGAAAAAATAAGAATATAATTTTAGGAATTACAAATTTGAGGGGGGCACGATATAAATTTTGTCATATATATAGAATTTTTTTAAAAAATTACCACATATATTATAGGTTGCTGGCCAATTCAGGAAGGCACGTGTCCCCCCGAGCCTTCATTGGCTCCATCCCTGATGGTGAATTAAAATATAATTATATACTCTTTCCGTCTTTTTTTAATTGTCTGTTTCGTGACTCACAATAAAATTGTGCTCAATTTCGTATGTGGCAATTCCGTCAAGATATCCTTATTAATTGGGGAAGGATCCCTGAAAAAGGACGATAGTATATTTTGTGGTGAATGAAGGAAAGAAAAAGTTTGGTGTAACCTTTATAATTTATTTCAGATAGTGATGTACTGATGTTGCTGTCCATGCATTAATTACCTCCAACTACATGAGTGTTACAAACGATGTTGCATGAATCTGTCAACTTTAATTCAACAACCCAAAATATACTATCAGAAAGATGCAGTTTTTGAGGGAATTAATGATTTTTGGTGGCATACACCAAAAAGGGATTATAGGGCGTACAGGCTACAGAGCCACAAAGGTCCATGGGTCCTGAGTCATGCGAAGCGGTGATAAATGCAACCTTTTGATCTCTCTCTCTCTCTCTCTCTCTATATATATATTTATCTATTGAATTCCGCTAGAAATTTAAGAGGGTTTAGCTTTGGAAATGCCAGAATCCACAAAACAAGGGTATTTGTGTAAAAGTATTTAAAATTAATGTAAAATAAAATCTTTCAAAAAACTATAAGGTAAAAAAACAATACAATAAAGTAAATAAAACAGTCAACCATGTACTACTCGTTTAGTCCTTCAATTTTCTAACCACAGAAATTCAACAAATTAAGTTACTCGTGATTATTGATATTTCTAAATCCACTTGTTTTGTGTTGAGTCATATAAAGAAAGAAAGAGTAAAAGTAAAAGCGAAAATAAATTTAAGAATAAGAGTAGCAGAATTAAATTATAAATGACGAGAATTTGAATCAGAGCGCGTGCAAAGCGTGAAAACAACATTGTTAAAAAGAATTATGTAAATTATATTTTGTATCATTTGAAATTTGAATAAAGAACATCCATAATTAACTCTTTAGTCATTGATTTTCCAACTATTATAATTATTCTAAAAACCCTTAAAATAATAAAATCAAACCCTAATTTTAAAAAAATAAATTTATTTTGTTTGGTGTCAGACAGAGAAAAGTGGAAGTTAGGGAATAGGCCGCCACTTCCGGGTTGCCTTAGAATTATTGGTTCATGGGATCCTGCCGCCATCCGTAGAATAGGAGTGGTAGATAGAGACAGCGGCTACAGCCAGTGGTACTCAAAATTGAGTATCTACTCCTAAAATAATAAAATCAAATCCTAATTTGAAAAATGAAAATGATTTTAATTAGCGCCATCGTTACGAGTTGACTTTGAGCTAGTCAAAATTGAGTATATCATTATTCTAAATTATTTTTCAACTGATTTAAATTATAGAAACTAATCTTCTAGATTAATCCAACAATAAAAGCCTCAATTTGCATTATTAAATTTACTTTACCTTAGCTATATTAAATTTTCGGTCAATCCCAATATTTGTCCATTTCTCCAATCTTCCTCTCCTCTCAGTAGTTATGGTAAATGCTTTGTTACTGTAATGATATATATTTTTTTCGGTAGTTGGCATAAGCTTTTTCAAAGTAGCTTTTATTACCTGATGACAAGTGTGATGCACTTGAGTGAAAGTCTCTGTACACTTGTAGAAATTTCGAGTTTTTTCAAACTTAGATTTTACTATCAGATGACAATGTGATGCACTTGAGTAAAAATTTGTTGCAGTGGAAAAATTGTTGCTTTCTCCTCTCTGCAATTGAATTTTTTCGACATCTGCAAACTTGTACTTGTAATTTCATATTATTATTGAGTTTAGTTGATTAATTCTCCACATCATTTTTTCTGACGATCGGTTCTCCTCCCCATTGTTTTATTCTCTTTTCTGTAATAGAAACCTGCATTTTGAACCAGATTAAAGTCTTAATTGGAATATGTATTGGTTTATAAGATTCCGTAAAAATTAAAATTGAAAAAATTGAAAACTATAGACATGGTTTGGCTATATGTGAATATAGTTGCTACCTCTTTATTCCAGTTGGTTCTGTAAACCATACAGAACAATACACATGTTTGTAACATTGTTCCTATCAGCATGCCATACCAAATCCCCTGAAATAAATTAAATAAATAATCAATGGCAGGAACAAATAATCAATTAAAATAACAAGCAGTTCAGTTCATATATGATTAATTTTTACTTTTTTGAAAATATTATATACAGTATATATATATACACACACACACATAATATTGACTTAAAAAAAATAAATCATGCATGTTTGAAACTCTAAAAATATTTTTCTATTTTTAGAGAAATGGGAAGAACAAAACTGTACAAAGACTTAGTTTGGTTCAATTTTCAAAAAACCGTTTAGATTCAGATTTGGGGACTACTTGGTTTGAAATTCTGAAAACACTTTACTGTTTTTAGAGAACTCAAAATCAGAAAACTATATAAAGCATTTGTTTGGTTCAATTTTCTAATAACGATTTTTTATAATTATGTAAAAATAGTTTTCTATTTTCTGAATTCTTAAGTACTATTTTTAGAATTACAAGCCAAATAAATCCATCGGAGAACACACGTTACCTTTACACCCATTTTGAGTTTGTAGTCCATTATGAGGCCCATAGGAATGCCAAAAACATAGTAGCACACAACATTTACATAAGCAACAAAAGCTTGCCATCCACCTCCAATAGCCACACCTTCAACAACCACACATTTGATCACACCATAAATATTTAGCCCAGTAACATTAATCTCATACGTTGTTACAAAAAAATAAAAAAAAGAAACATAAATAGAAGTAAAGGGACAAATAGATTACCAGAGAGAACAGGTTGAACACTGTTAATGACAATGCAAATTGCTAGCAATGGTGTGAGCTCATACACAAGTTCTTGAACCTCTACATTGTTGGAGAACAAGGAAGGGTACACTCTTCGACTGACCAAAAGAACGATGGAGGGGATGAGACCGATTATAAATGCAGAAACCACTGCTACCACCACTGAAAATTTCGCGGTTCTTGGATGCACCGCCCCTAATTCATTTGACACCCTTACACTGCACATACATTTGTCATACTTGAGATTTTTTTCTTCTTCTTTTTCATTCATGTTTTAGTTTGTGAGTAGTAACAATGTGAAGCTTATGTTTCTAGAATTAACCTTATAGCTGCATTGCATCCAAGTGCCACGGTCATTACCCAAAACTGTATGTTTATGCTACAATTTCAAACATTCAAAAAACAAAAAGAACTTAAATACTAATATTAGTAATTCTCCACACAAAATTAAAATTATACACTTCACCACTGGGCCATTAGCCCAACTGTTAAAACCTCTATCCCTTTAAATACGAGGTGAGGGATTCGAGAGGGACGGACCAGTAACAGGGTTTTTTCGCACTTTAAACCAAAAAAGGAGGAAAAGATATATATTCCAAGTTAGAATCTAGCAGAGTGTACTCACCATATAGACAGAGCATCCACTGAAATTCGTGCATTCTTCATGTATCCAACAAAGAGCATTAGTGCACTAAAATACCACACTTCTAAGCTGTGCAATATTTATATTGAAATGTTAGAAAGAAACCTAGACATAGAGAAGAAATCCAAATTGAATACTTTTTAATTACAATACTTTTAAATAAACTCATATAGAAAGCATCAAATGGAATATAAATATTTTTTATATAAGTTTGAAATGAGAATGTTAAATTAGATGATAAGAGTAACCAGTTTAGATAAATTTATATCCAAGTGTGAGGGGAAAGACTAGTGATAAAAAAAGAAAAAAAATATATAACTAAGTAATATCTACTAAGCACGGATACGGGCAAGAATACGGGTATGACACGATAAGGACAAAGTAATACGGTAATTTTTTAAAAAAATAGGAGACAAATATGACATGGATACATAAATATATATATATATATATATATATATATATATATATATATATATATTATTACATAATAATTTTTACTAATTTATCCCTATAATCATTTATAAAATTACTAATTTGGAGCTTACAAATAAATTTTTTTTTTATATTTGTTTTGTAAAATTTTATATTATTTTTAATGAACCCATAATATATTTTAAATTGAATTGAATCCCATTTTTCTAAAAAAAATATATATATAGTAATAATAATAATTACAAAACCACACCGTCGTGTTATGAAAGTAATCAGAACGCATCATTACTATGTCCATGTCGTGACCCAACTATGTTCTAGTAAGAAAAATAAAATATTTAGATTTCAGAACATTTTTAAGTGTGTTTGACATCTGTTCAAGTATTTGACACCACCACTACACCCCTAGGTGAATTTTCGGAGCTTTCTAAAGTAGTATGGACACATAATAGGCTTATGATGTGCCACAAGAAAGGTTAGATTGATTTGCACAAGATGTAAAAGATAACGAGCTTTACCAAACATAATATAAAATGAAGTAATTAAAAAAATAACTTTTAAAATTTAATTATTAAAGAAACATAATGTATGTAGAATGAAAAAAAGGAGAATTTATGGGACGAATCTCCTGCCACTGCTTTCCACCGCCACCACCACCACTATCACCTCCCCTCCAACACCACCAATGCTATCGCCACTGTTTCCTTCTACCACCACCACCACCGCCACTACCTTCCACAATCATTACCATGCCTTCTACCAACTCCACTGCCGCCGCCTTCCACCATCGCCTTCCACCATCACCACCACCTTCGCCTTCTAACACCACCACTTACACCACTACCGCTTTACACCCCCACCACCATCATCACCGCCATCCCCGGCCATCCACCACCCCGGCCATACTCAGCATAATAGAAAAAGTCTAACAATGATATAAGTAAATGAAAATAAAAGGCTTTTCCAGTTGGACCCAGTCCATCCAACACGCCAAGAAAGAAAGCCTAGTCGTGGGCATTTACTATATATAGATTTTGGGAAGCACAGATCAAGTCAATTGTCTGGTCCAATGCTGACGGGCTAGGCCCACGCAACCCGGCCCGTAAGCATCAGTTGGTATACCTAACGCAAAATTATATTTCACGTTAACACGACCCGTATCTCATAGCTATGAATGGTACCAGTAACAATCTAAGTAATCTGAACTATAAGAATATTTTATTTTATTTTATATGTTTTTAAGACACATGTGATTTATATAATATTGTTAAGGGTGGATGATTTGTTCTCTGATGGATATTTATTTACCTAATTTATAACATAGTTGTTCTAAAAGTTTGAGGTAAAATTATAATAATTGATGTTAATTTCAATTTAGAAATAAAATAAAGAAGAATATTATCTTTTGAGCACTTTCTAGATTCCATATAATGTTAATGTTAAGTAGGAGGTACCTGCACCATAATTTTCCATCCCTACAAAATTACTTTTTGTGAAAGTTTTTCTTTCATGATAGTTTTATACTGTAGCTAAGTTCCGATTTGCAGCAAAGAAAAATGTTACTTAGATCTATTTTTAAAACCGAGAAGGTTAGCGTACAAATACAAATTCAATCGGGTTTAGGAAATCGGTTTAAGTAGCGTTACTCGAATTCTCACCAAAGCATTATTGCGGATGCAAGAGATAGCCTCAGAAAACCCCAGAGATTCTGAAATGCCTTCCATGAAAACCAGGACCATGATCGACCACAGGCTCCACTAAATATATAAAGGAGTTGAGCCACCACGATGAACCACCATGAAGCGTTGAGCACCACGGCGGCACCCATTAGGCCCCACCGCAACTTCAGCATCAACAGCCAGCTGAAGAGAGTGTGAAAAACCAAAGCCACTCCAGTTATCACAGCCATCACCATCATCTTGCTTTGGGCCTGCAAGAACTTGGCCATCGGAAAGTTGGCTGCGTAGGCGTAGAGCTGTGGAATCATCCACACCGCCATAGCCCCTGCCGCCTCAGATATCTCCCTAGTCTGCCCGATGAGTTTCAGACATTGGGCCGCGAAGATGTAGAAGAACATAATGAAAAAGGCTGTGGTGGTGAGGATGATCCATGACCTCTGCATGTAGACCCCAAGCATGTCCAGTTGTGAGGCTCCAAACGCTTGTCCACATAGAGTCTCTAGTGCGCTCCCCATTCCCAACTGTACATTCCATGCATTTATGCTAAGTTAATTTTAGAAAATGATACTCCTTACTCTCAAATTAAATGTCCGAATTCAACTTTTAAAGAGGATGGATTTTAATATTAATATTTTTTTTATTGTATTGATAGTTAATAAATAACCAAATATATGTAAATAATCTATACCATGACACCAAAAGAGAATCCTGTGATGATGGAATTCTGGACGGAAACAGCGGCCAGCTCGAGAGTTCCAATGTGGCCGGCGAAGATCTGAGTGATGAAACTTAGGGAGTACTGACCCAAGGATATGAAGATGGCCGGAGCGGCGAGGTACCAAAGCTTTCTTGATTCAACAATGAATTCTCTGAAGAAAACTTGAATTCCTGAAATAGGTGGTATGTCATGGGCACCTTCAGTGAAGGATGAAGCAGAAGAGTTATTTGGTGGTCTCACAGGGCCTTGGAGATGGTTTGTTGACAATGGCTGATTATTGTTCTCCATGGTAGAGAGAGAGAGAGAGAGAGAGAGAGAGAGAGAGAGAGAGAGAGAGTGCGGGAGAAAAAGATTTGGCTCTTGTATTTTTTTAATTCATGCAGATCAGTATTCATATGCTCCTCTTCCAACATTAGTGGTGCTTAATTCATGTAAAACAATTACACAAATGGAAAATAATAATCTTCCAAAATCAGTCCTACCTAGAATTAAATCATGTAATTTATTAAAAGTATTGAACTTTGTGATTTACGCACTTGGGTTTTAATGATTTAATCTACTAGCTAGTTAAAAAAATTCAGATATGATAGGAATAGAAAAACTGCATGTATTTGGTGGTGTATTATGAAGTTCTTTTAATTTATACTCCATAGGTCACATCATCACTGTCATAAATTAAAATATATATATCATTGTTTTAAATTAAAAAAAAAGGTGTAAATATTACTTTAAGAGCCAAAAGTCACATTAAATGTGAATAAATGCTCTTATATTATAATAATATATTATATTATATTTTAGGAATAATTATACTTACCTTTCTTGAAGTTTCGTAATTATATATTGACCTTTTCTTTGTTTGTCAAATAAGACTCACCTCCCTCGATATTTGTATATTCATAACATAAACCTCCACTTACTGTAACTAATTGACAAGAATGATGCCAGCAATTTTTAATTCACAAATTTCCATTCTACCCTTGCATGACATGTAAATAAAGCAATTAAAATATCTAAAATATCCCACTAATTATTTCTCCTCTATCCTCGTATTCTCTTCCCCTCTCTCTCTACACAGCCCTCGAACACCACAACAAAACTCAAAATGTTTATTTTTTTTCTCATGTTTGATTTTGTTTCCTTTCCCCCACCCAAAAAAAAAAAAAGAGGTTCACAGCATCATGGTTGCTAACATGATGGTGGTGTGTTTGACGGAGACAAGTCCAAGGCACCACCATGTTGACACAGTCCTAACCCATACACCACTGTCATCCCTCCATCACCATCACCACCAACATACTACTCCTTGAAAAATTGACCATCAAGCCAAACCCAAGACCCAAAGTTATTCACAACCACTGTCGCCGGAATAGGGTCACCAACACCACCACGCCGTTGGTAAGTTCAGTGCACCACCCGCCGGCGGAGAAGCTGTTCTTTTCAGCCATCCTTGCTCATTATCTCTCTATCCAGATATTTCTGTCTCTAGTATATTCCAGAAAATGCAATTGATGATGCAAATGTGAAAAGGAAAGAAAGAAATTTCTCTATCCAGATATTTCTGTCTCTAGTATATTCCAGAAAATGCAATTGATGATGCAAATGTGAAAAGGAAAGAAAGAAATTTGGTGTCGGCAGAATAGGAAAATCAAAGAAAATAAAAGTTGAAGTCAAAAGGTTAAGACATTGAATTGAATAAATTAATTAGAAAGTTAAAGGAAAAAAAAAAAAGGTCAAATATTTTAGGAACTACAGGTGAAGCAACAACGAATGGAAACTTCGGTGAAGCAACAATGAAGGCAAGGATTGCACCACGGCACCACTACAACCTGTAGCTTCATCACCGTCATCCTCACCCCATAACCACCGCCATCCTCTCTCAAATTGAAATGGATCTCTCTTCTTGTCCCAAAAAAGGGTCTACAAAAAGTTAGAGATAGGAAAGAGAGTAAAGAAACACTTTGGGCGTTTTTGTCTTTTCAAATTTTATTGTATTTGTAATAAAATACAATATAGATACAATAAGGGTAGAAAAGTAATTTCAATAGAATTGTTAATGACAGGGGAGTTCTTTGTAATTTGAAAAATAAAAAGAAAGGTCAGTGTAGGTTCACGAAATTTCAGGATAGGTCAATGTAATTATCCCAATATTTTATAAAAAGGGAGATCAAATTATATAAGATGTGAAGTGTAATATATCCAAAAATAAATAAAATAGAAGGATGATAAGGTCAGTGGCTTTTAGAGAAAATTTTGGGAGAATATTAAGTTGCCTTTCACTTCTTATTGGCTTGTTTTAATCATATTATTTATTTGTTTCCTATTTTTAGAGAATATTAAAAACACAAACCTTTGTAAAGATAATACTAACCTTGTAAAGAACGAACTGCCCTTTTAAGTGTTTTTATTAGTCTTTCTTATCTCTCCTATATTTAAACAACTAATACACACTTCCTATATTTAAACTAACCTATGTAAATGAATTTTTTCCTTTCTTTCTTTTTTAATTGTAAAAAGAAATATTCCTATAAGAGGTTGATCGTTTCCATACCAAGTAGCTTAGTATCGATCGTGATCGATAGCCCTTTTGCTTAACATGTATTTCGGCTTCCTGTGGATGTATTCTTTGCATATATGTATTATAATGTATATATATATATATGTATATATAATTTAAAATGCTATGTATACGAGTTTAACGTTCTGGACTGTCATGGATTGTAACTAAAATTTTGCTATGAATGAATACTTGTCTGCTTGCTTTGGAGAAATATATATATATATATAAATATATACACACACTTTAAATTTGAATTTTTATAGTTGTAAATTTTAATTGAAGTTAAATTATAAAAATTTAGTTTTAGTTGAATTAAAATTGGGAAAAGGATAACGATAAGAATAATTTGATAAGCGATAGATGTCAACCAGCAAACAAGAAAAAGAGTGTGAAAAGACAGTCGCAACTAGCACTCTTGACTTGTCTTCTTCAAATGACATTTACTCTCCTTCCTATCTCTAACTTTTTGCAGACCCATTTCAACCGTTTGATTGAGAGAAGTGTCACAATTACTCTAATCGTGACAGGAGAGAGTACTGCACGCACACTCTTCCTTACGAACCTCTCTGCTCTCAAATTATTTCAGATATTTTGATGTTGCTGTCCATGCATTTATTACCTTCAACTGCTTGAGTGTTACAAACGATATTAGGGTTAGAGTCCTTGAATGTAGCATGTATCTGTCAACTTTGATTCAACATCAAAAATAAAATTGAATTTAAACCACTCAAATTTATAGTGGTTACTTCAAACTCCTTATCACTTATTATCATCTTGAGTGGGACATTCCACTAATTTTATTTGAATTTATAGTGGTCACTTTTTAATGCTTAGGGCCTAATTATAGAAAATACAAAAAATTTAAGGATACTATACTATAAGGAAATAAAAAATTTGGGATCGCTTGAGGCCTAATTATAGAAAGTAATTTAAAAATGAAGGATGCTATAATGTAAGGAAACAAAAAATTTGAAGTCTTCATATTGACTGGGGCTTTAGGCAACGGTCTAAGTTGCTTATGGCTCCTGCTGGCCCTGATTGATTACTTATTATCATCTTAAGTAATAGTAGGGAGTCCAACATCGGACACATTGAACTAATTTTATATAAATAAAAGCTAATGTATGTCACCATGACATTATAGATATATGATGTGATCCTCACTCACATAAGTGAGTTAAATTTGTTTTACTTTCGAACTCCAAATCATTATCGTATCATCTTTGTGGCATAATATTGCAAAATGATTGGAATAATTAAACCCATCCAAATTTCGTATAGTAAAAGAGGAATACTCCACAACTTTAGAGAGAAGTAACTTTCCAAACTTTTAGCTCAGCATATATATTTAACATAGCACTTCAGAAATACTCCACAACTGTATAATAATAATCTCTTTTCCATCGTATATAATGCTACCATCAGCTAATGTTGAGCTGTATACATGACTCAAGCTATAACTAATTTCATTGTTAATAGGACACATGGCATGCCAATTGTCACACTACGTGTTTGTATCATTCCCAATAATCTAGAGAGATTTAATATTTTCAGGTTTGATTTAGCTTATTTTTAGGTTTGATTTAGCATGTTTACATAAATTTTGATTGCAGTTATATTATATTATATTGTATTTTATAAAAGGGAAGGATAAAATTGTCATTTTATAAAATATGTTCAACAGAACCCGGAAAAAAAATGTTAGGGGTATTGTTAAGTATTGTGTCAATTCTTAGAGGATGTCAAAGTAATAAACGCTAAATGGTTTATTCATGTATAATTTATCCTGAATTTTAATATATCATTCGAATCACTTTTTCGACAAATACAAAACATCTACGTTGTCTAAATAAATAGATCTATTCATTTACAAAACATCGACACAATTCACGTCCTTTTTATGTGTGTCCTCGTAAAGGGTGATTTGCTACCTGCAAACCTATAGGTTGTAATGTATTTATGGAAAATAATGTTTCTTGTGAAGTTATAGAAATTGAAACAATCAAAATCAAAACAACAAATGGTTTGCTAAGAACTCTAATGAATGTACGTCATATTCCAAGTGTTAAACGGAATGTGATCTCCACCGGGAGTATTGGATTCCAAGGATTGTTGGTGTGAAATGAAGAATGGATTGATGAAGATAAAAAGGGGATCACGTGTTAAGCTTTTGGGAAGGAATGTTAATAATCTTTATATTTTGTTGGGAAATACTATGCTAGGTGGATCAATTACAAAAACAGAATAAAAGCCTATTTCAAGATCTACTAAATTGGAAGATCAAGAACAACAAGAGAATGAAGAAGTCTTGGCAATTGTAAAAGCACCAACGTTTTATTCCAGAAGAAAAAGAGTTCGATTTGGTCAATTTAAAAAACTCAAAGTTCAAGCCTCCAGGAGATGAGATATTCTTAAGTTGAGCCTTGTCTTGACACAGTTGATATCGGGCTAATAATATTGCCTCTATATATATTTGGAACAACAAAATTTTTTTCCTCAAATAAGGATTTGGGGGAAATAAGTTGCCTTAATGCATAGCAAAGAATTCTTGTGGGCATTGAATTTGTGGCAATGGTAAAATTGTTGCTTTCTCCTCTTTGCAATTGAATTTTTTTGACATCTGCAAATTACTGCATTTGGAACATTAATTATCCACATCATTTTCTCGCGTTTGGTTCTGCGCCCCATTTTTTTATTCTCTTTTCTATCTTGATTAAATTACACCGACCTTCTTCGAGATTTTGGGCAAATTATGCTGATGGCTAGAAAGTGACTCTAAGTGTGAAAATTAAGTAATGCTCTCATATTATAATAATATTTTAAATTACATTTTATATAAGGGATGGGCAAAATTATCACTTTATAAAATTTGGTCAACATATTTGCTGGAAGGAAAACGTTAGGATGTCCCAAAGCACATAAGCCAAATCTCTGAAAAGGTTAAAGTAATAAACTTTGAACGATCTATCCATGTGTAATTTGTCGTCCAAACCTTGTGAGAGGCCCGTGTAAT